CCGATTAAATAGAAATCCTTAAATGGGGTGCGAAACAAACTGGCTAAGGTTTTCATTCTGTTTTATAAGGGACATTTTTATTTTTCATATTCTGTGTTTAAAAATTCACTTCCCAAAAATGCAGAGCTGATTTTAAGGACAGTCTAAGAAATAAAGGACAAAGGCGTCCTTTATTTTGAAAAAAAAAAATTAAAAGACGGGGTTAAAATAAAGGACTGTCCTTTAAAATAAAGGACGGATGGTCACCGTACCTATTGTGCATTTGAAGCAACTGATAAACTTAAAAAAATTATTTTCACCGGAAAAAAATCTCAACGGAAAGTAAGGAAAACTTCCTGAAAAATTTATTCAAATCGAACATACAATATTTTTTTTTGTAACAAAAAAGTTTGGCGCCGGGTTAAATTCGAGTCATGAGTTCATATTTGCTAGGAGAATTCTTCAGTATGCCTACTTCCACGCACGGAAATGCTAAGGCGCACATCAGTCAAACAATTAGCAGTAATTTAAAAAAAATAATGAAGTATGACAATATCTTCGTGAGATATCGATTTATTTTTCCGCATCGATGTTTTTCGTTTTGATTCGAATCAATACGAAATATTCGCTCTATCATCTCAACTGCGTACTTACCCGCCCTATACACCATGCAAAAAAGAAAAACACATAACAAACATATTTTTTTTTTACTTTAATCGAGAATCGAGATTTTTATTATCGCTTATTGCCTGCATTTAAAGTATAAATTATGTATACAAGTAAATATGTATGTATAAATCGATATAAAAATATTAAACAAAAACGAAACAAAAAACAATTCTAATTGCCAGGAAAAGTGGAGGGACGTTGCATTGAACACCTAAATACTAGTATACAATGTAGCAATTAATTAAAAGTAAATATCGCATGTACGTTGGCTCAATACAATTGTTTGCAAAACTTTTTGAAATTTTTGCTTTAATTTATTTCACCTATTGTTTTTCCTTTTTTTTTGTTTTTTTTTACAACCATTTCATTGCATTTTCATGGAGCATACTTTTTTTTTACAATTAAATGTTAATGTGAGTATAAATTTTTGTATGCATATTTACATACAAACACATGCATACACATATGTATGTATGTCCTATATGTTTGTGTGCAATTATACACTAAATACAAAACAAAAATGAGAACAGTGTAAACTTGGACTGGTTAATAGTTGGGGTGGTAGCAGGGTAGGAAAGCATGAAATAGGCGATTTGGGTTGTGTACAAAAAAATTTAATACATACATCTATAAATATAAGTATTTATATACTTTTTGTTTTTTGGTTTACTTAATTCTTAAATTTATACAGCACATTCGCTTAATCGGCTTCTAGAGTGTGTATGTATTCATAGCTATACTATGTGTAATCGAGTGCTACAGAAAGAAGCCTTTTCGCTTGCCATTTCATTCGTTACTTAATCTAGCATAATTAATTGTTAAAGTTTGGCTTAAGCTAAGTTATGCTGTTATGCTGGTTATTTTGACGTTTATTTTTTTTTTTTTTATAAATTTATTTCTTAATATTTTTCAAAAATCATATACAAACATATTATGCATTACAAAAAATAAAGTCTTCGCGCAAATATACACACACATGCATTCATAACACATACATGGTTTTTACATACATACAATAACTACATAGGTATGTATGTAAATATGTTTTTATGGTGTTTTATTTTCCAAACAAAACCCTAAAAAATATATATTTATAATTGCAAATTTATATGCAACGAAAGTATGCAGATTTAATGAAGTGCAGAGAGAGAGTCAGAAAGCGTATTAAGTAGTAAAATTCCCACGTTAATTTCGAAAGAAAATTTTGATTCGATCAAGTAGTTTTTTACCGACTTCGAAAAAATTAGGAGGTTACCAATTCGTCGGAATGTTTTCTTACTTTCTTTTTGTATGTAACCGCATAGTTTTGGACCACGTTAACCGATTTCTATAATTCTTTTTTAGAGGAATCATGAAAAAATTAACGATACTCTTACATTTTTGTATGAGAATTGAATTGGTTTTGTTTTTTTTTTGCTTAAAAATTACTGATTTTGTATTTTAAAGTTCGAAAAATTTAGGTAGTATCAAAAAGCGCCCCCTCGACAATTATAGTAGTTATATATGTACATACATAAATATAGCTATGCTGAAACGGAACAAGTGTATAATTTTTTTCACTGGGAAAAAGAGTAGCTACTTTTTGCGAATTTATTCTGTTCACACTGCCTTCGAAGCAACTACAGGAGCTGAATCACTGCATTTGATATCGAAAGAAGACAATAATTTCAATTTGATTTTCCGATTTCGGCAATTCAAATTATATTGTAAAGAAAGCAACTGTAATTGAATTTTATTCGATTCGAAGCGAGTAGTCATTCGATCACGAGTGCGTGATTCGAGGCCAGGTTCGATTAAAATAGATCAATAGAATTTTCCTGAAATCGCTTGTAATTTTTTTTTTTGAGATATCTTTAAACTGATTTCTTTTATTTTACTGTGGCTAGCAATATGAAAACAAGGATGTCCCAGAATATTACAAAGTCCAAAGTTGCATCCATTTTTTTTTGTCTAAATGACGCTAGGGTGGTCCATAAAAATATCAACATCTAAATTGTTCTCCCCACAAAATAAATACATCTACGAAAATTTTAAAATTAATAAAAACTTTAGCTATGTATGTAGCTGTAAAAATGAAGAAGTTTTTAAGTAAAACCTTATAACTGAACAATCATCTTAATGATTCTCGCAGTATACTCTCTGTTCATGATACTTAAAAAAAGTCAGCAATTTTATATTCATAGCTGCTTAAATGGAGAAGTTATAATGCAAAACTCTATGCTAAATTTGTCAGTGTCGATAAATTATTAAAACATTATAAATATACACTCATGTACCAAATTTCATTCGGATATCTCGAAAACTAAGAGACTAGCTTGCATTTAAACAAGCAGACGAACGTGGCTAAATTTGCTCAGCTCATCGCTTTGTTCTTCTAGGGTAACCACCTTTACCCCGAGATTGAAAAATATAATTATGTTCTTTTTCACTTTTGTTAATGTTTTTAATATTTCTTAAAAAAAAAATTAACTTAAAAAACAATTCTTTAAAACAGGAAGCTCATGCTTATTTTAAAAACTTTTTTCTTTGTAGGTGCAAACAAGTATTGCATCGTCGATTCGACGAAGCATGACTTCCCAGGGTTAAAGGTACAAAATACCCCTTTCTAAAAGCTCCCTCCATGCAACAGTACGCTAGAGAAACATACACTACAGAAAAAATAATTTGCTAGAACAGGTATGTGCGTAAGTTTCTTTGGAGTACTTAACAGCCAAATTGTTGCATAAAAAAAATGTATATAATTTTTTCCAAACCCTGATATTCCAACCTGGAAAATCCAACCTGGCAACCATATTTTCAAGAATCAAGATATAGTAATTTTTTCAAAATTATTATTAGAAGCGTTATATAAAAAAAAAAACATAAAAACAATTCTCGATAAAAGATCGTAAGATTACACTGGTCTACAAATTTCAACTTTTTTTCTGCGAATAAGACGGGACCTGGTATTTCTGAACGGATTTTTCGTGCTGAACACGAATCCGGGGTCAAAAATGTCCCATCACGTCACGTTTTCGAGAAAAAAGGGGTTGAAACCCCTAAAAACAGCGTTTTTGGCCATTTTCGAAAAATTATAGAGCTGAACCCTGACGTGGTACAAATTTTGCATATATCAGAAATTAAAGGCTAAACCGTGCCCTTTCGAATGAGCCCTATGCCGAATTGATCGCGTGCACCCTTAAAGCAGGGGGTGTATTTGTGTTTAGGGGTGCAGGAAAAATTGATCACAGAAAGAATTTAATCTTAAACGATCATAGAAAATTAATAATGCCAAGGTTTTAACTATATTAAAAGTCGCTGATTACGAATCTGCAGTTAGATTTTAAAAATTTAAGATGACGGGTCGAATATGGTGGATATAAAAATTGGACTCCTAGACACAAATACACCCCCTGATCTAAGGGTGCATGCGATTAATTCGGCATAGGGCTCATTCGAAAGGGCACGATTTAGCCTTTAATTTCTGACATATACAAAGTTTGTAGCACGTCAGGGTTCAGCTCTACAATTTTTCAAAAATGGCCAAAAACGCTGTTTTTAGGGGTTTCAACCCCTTTTTTCTCGAAAACGTGACGTGATGGGAAGTTTTGGACCCCAGATTCGTGTTCAGCACGAAAAATCCGTTCGGAAACACCAGGTCCCGTCTTATTCGCAAAACCCTTGTAGACCAGTGTTATCTGAGTTTTAAGGCGGATTCATCGTTCTTTTTCTCGAACTGAAGTGGAAGTTGAGTTAACAACCCAAAATCGTTTCGAACTTTTCTCAGAGAGAGAAAAACACAACAACAACCACATGAAAAACTTCAAATCTCTGCACTGGAACGTCGATTCCGCCTTAATACGTACAACCGGGATCGAGAACCGGTTTGGAACCGGGCGACCCGTTTTTTCTACTAATTAACTGAACCACTAACCGAACGAAAATTTTCCAGACATATTTGATCCAAATGGAAACACTTTTTTATAAAGGCTTAGTGTTCTTTTCGACCAATTTTTAACCGACTTCCAAAAAAGGGGGATGTTCGTCGGAATATTTTTTTTTTGTGTATATTACCGCATAACTTTGGACCACGTTAACCGGTTTCTATAACTTTTTTTAAGGAAAGGTGGTACCTAAGGGGTGGTCCCATACCAATTTAGTTTAGATCCGATCATTGGAACATGTACTCTTAGATTTTTATATGAGTCGGTTTTGTTTTTTGCTTAAATATTATTTGTTAATAAATAAATTTTCAGATAGTTTTTATTTATTCTTTTCTTAAATATGGTAAACCATGTTTTTTACCATCCGGCAATTTTTTTACTAAATATGTACAGAGTAAAACATAAATTATAGATATGTTTTTATTTATATTTTTTGAATTGTTACCGAACCGAAATACCGGTTTAAAGACAAAAAAAACGTTTTGAGGAATCAATCCAAAGGTGCAAAAATGGTTAGATCCGCTGAACCGAACTGACTACGTCCCTGATAAAAATCATAAAATAAAGGTTTAATTCGATCTGAAATACAGAAATCCAATTTTAGCGGTTAAATGACGATTTTTATTATAAATGTCATCATAGGCATAACGGTCCCTGTTTTTTTTTGTCGATGGAACGCTTTTTTTTACTTAGCCGAAAATTTTATTTTCATTTGTAGTTCATTCGGAAATTGCTTATATTTGATATACATATGTATGTATAAAGTTTGGAAAACATTTTTATATTCGAGTCCGTTTCAATGAACAACTTATGTAAATTTCCGATCCTCCCCTCTCAGCTCAAATACATACCTACAGAAAAACGTAAACGTAAATTTGCAGTATATTTGGCAAACAAACATTTCTAAACCAACTCTCCCCCGCGTTTAATTGCCTTCATTAGCTCACTGCTGGAAATCGTTTGCGCTATGCGATTTCCATAAACAAAAATAGTTCGATTTATTTTTATGTACGGCTTCCCTTGTTTTTTTTTTGTTTGGTTTGAAAATAAAATCTTTAGTCATTTACTTGCTATAAATAATTTTTCAGATTTTTGCACGTAACAAAATTCGTAGAGTGACATTTATCGTTTCATTGCTTCTTGCTTACTTGCTTAGTTGCTTCTCTTTATTGTATGTATGTATGTATGTATACCGATTATGCAATATCAGTAGCATTTAAATATTGACTAAATACTATGATTAGTCGTTTACGGTTTTCTAAAGTCGTATGATGATTGCTGCATGCATTTGCTTATCAAGCGTTGAATTAATTATGTGTATGAGAGAGTGAGAGAGTGTGTATGGCTGTGTGTGTGTGTGTGAGTTAATCTAAACTCGTAAACACAACCTAATATGACGATTTTACGAATGATGATAACGGGTTTTGGCCGCAATATAAATAGGAAGCTGAGTGTGGCTTTTTGGACTTGCAACGACTTAAAGTGAAATTGCGATGATGTGTTGCTAAAATTAAAAAAAAAAATTACCGCTTTACTAAACACCGCAATAAATGTTTTTGTTTTGCTCCTTTCCTATGTACTCGCTTAATCGCTTTGTTGGCAAATATTAAAGTTTAAATATTTCATATGCTACCGTCAATCTAATGTAAACATTTCGCAGACAACAACAAGTCGAACGCTCACTCAAAGCAAACAACACGCAACTCAAATGATGAATAACGCCAGCCATTTATCCTATTCTGCTAATGCCCCTTTATCATTGTCATTGCCATCGCCAACTTCGTCGTCGGTTCGCCGTCTTTCTGGGCTTTATTAATGCCTTCTTCACCCATGCCATCGCCATCGCCATCGTCATCGCCATCGCCATCGTTGTCTTGCCTTCTCATCTATCTATGTTGTATCTATGTATATGTCGTCGTCATTGTCATCGTTGGCGTCGACAACATTATTTTATGTAAACAACGGGAGATGATAGAAGTCGAACCCTCGGTATCCTTTGGCTGCCAGCCAAATGTAGACAACATGATAGGCGCCCGGTATAAAGCAGATTAGGCCAGCTACAAAGAACACCACACCTTGTGATGTGTTCGCCGGATCTGCGACAGCGAATGTACCGAATACAAAGAGACCGGTGCCGACAATCAACAATGTGACGGCAGCTAATACAGTTCGCCAATTTTCGCGCACCTTCGGATGCCGCCAACAGTATGTGTTGGTCTCCTCTGTGGGTATATTGCCATACTCTTGAATTAGCGAGTCGCTGTCACGCGATGTCGTATCCTCAGCATATTTGGTGTAGTTTCTGCAAAACGAAAAGAAAAACAAAAATGAAAAATGAAAGTCTTCATTAGAGTTTAAGTAAATAGTAGTACAAATGTTAAATATTTGAATTTACTTTACTATTCGAGCACACATGTGGTATGTAGCTGAGCAGAGTAGGTGCAAGCCAGCATGGAACAACGTAAAATAAGGCTTAGAAATACCCGCTTGGACATTGGTAACATGATTACGATCTGTGCAGCGTTTAAAAAACGCGGATGTTATTTAGTCCCACCCCCATATTTAAAACTCTTCATAATTCGGAAAATCACACATGTAAGAAATAAATCTTATAAGTTTTTATAATCAAAAAGGAGTGCGTCTGAAGTGAAACTTTCTTCGATTCATTTATAGTTCGTCGCGACATGAGCTTTTTCAAACGCAGCAGCGACATCATGAATTTGTAAAAGCTTGACTTAAAAGAAGAGGAAGAACCTCATCTATCACTGGAAAAATAGAAATATATCTAATCTGCCCACAACCACAGTCGTCGCGTAGCCCTGTGGTCGCCAAAATAATTATCTACATAAGAATACGTGGAAAAATAATTTGACAGCTGTGGTCCGTTGCTCGTCGTTTTCATTGTGTTCAGACTATTAGCCGTTGTCTTCGTCCTCATATTCGTATTCCTCTTCCTCTTCGTATTTGTATTCGTTTTCGTGTTCCTGTTGTTGTATTCGGTTTCGTATTCATCCTAGTGTTCGCATTGGCCATCATATTTGTTTTTAAATTCGTCATATCTTTATCGTTCATCTTCGCATTCGTCATCGTTTTCGTATTGGTCTTTGTCTCAGCCTTAGACCTCTGCCTAGCGCATTTCAATAATACACTCTCAATATTATTGTAAGCGTAAATGAAGAGAAAAAAAATGGATTTTCACACATTTCCGTGATGATTTTTTAGTTCACTACAGCCGCTTAACAAGTTTCACCTCAGGAAAAATAATTTGAAAAAAAAAACAAGTAATGGGTGATTTTTTAAGAGCTTGATAACTTTTTTTTTTAAAAAAAACGCATAAAATTTGCAAAATCTCATCGGTTCTTTATTTGAAACGTTAGATTGGTCCATGACATTTACTTTTTGAAGATAATTTCATTTAAATGTTGACCGCGGCTGCGTCTTAGGTGGTCCATTCGGAAAGTCCAATTTTGGGCAACTTTTTCGAGCATTTCGGCCGGAATAGCCCGAATTTCTTCGGAAATGTTGTCTTCCAAAGCTGGAATAGTTGCTGGCTTATTTCTGTAGACTTTAGACTTGACGTAGCCCCACAAAAAATAGTCTAAAGGCGTCAAATCGCATGATCTTGGTGGCCAACTTACCGGTCCATTTCTTGAGATGAATTGTTCNCGAACCGAACACTGATTTTGGTAATAAAATTCAATGATTTGCAAGCGTTGCTCGTTAGTAAGTCTATTCATGATGAAATGTCAAAGCATACTGAGCATCTTTCTCTTTGACACCATGTCTGAAATCCCACGTGATCTGTCAAATACTAATGCATGAAAATCCTAACCTCAAAAAAATCACCCGTTATAATCTTAAAATTTAACCATTAAATTTAAGAACTCCACACTAAGCTGTTTCAGTTGCCTGCGTTCCAGGACATAGAAACATCGAAGGATGTGAGAGAGCTAATGAATTAAGGAAGTCAGGAGGCTTTTTGGATGAATCGGATTTTACAATTATTAATCTTAGGCACTGGGCACAGAGGAATTGATCTGCTTGCTCTCTAGTTAAACTTGCGCCAAGAATAGGACTTTCCTTTAATATAACCTGCCGCAGCTGTCAGTCCACTAAGTATGTAATTTTTTATGCATATCAGATGATCTTCATAAGCATCAAGCGGCATTTTTACCAAATATTTAACAGTAAATATTAGATGATGTATGCGCGCTCAAAAAAGCTTAAATTGGCGTTCAGATAAAAGAAATAACTGTCTATAAGTAATTAAGCGTATAGCCATATCCACATATGCATATGTATGTATGTAGAGATGTACAATTAATTCCACTGATTGAACGCCAACTATTCATCAATCAAATATGCAGCCGCAATCACCGACTCACCGCTAAATGCCTGCGGGCATTCTCTGTGGACCGAGATGTGCATTAGTAGAGTTGCAGCGCCAACTCTACAGCGCACATTGATGTATGTATACTAGGGTGGTCCAAAAAAAATAACAATGTCGGCATTTTAATGCTCTCACCCCCTTGATTTGTTTTATATCGAAAAATTAAACCCTATTTCTTATTTTGAAATCAAAAAAATATTTAGAGGTCGCTCAAAGCGCTCAAAGTTTTGCATGTATTTTATTTGGCTAAAAAACAACTTTTCGTAGAAGTGGTATAGAATTCTTGAAAATCAATATTGCTCGGTAAACTAGGGTCTCTTCAGAAGACTTCCAATAATAAACCAAATTTTTTAATACCGATTTTTTCCGATCGAAAAATATTTATTATCAAGAATTCTATTCCATTTCTACGAAGTTTTTTTATATAAAAAACATGGAAAAGTGTGAGCGATCCCTAAATATTTTTTTTTTAAATAGGGATATATTTTTTCGATATAGAACAAGGTGGAGAGCATCAACCCTCCGACTTTGCGTTTTCACATGCATTTTGGGACCACCCTAGTGTACATACATACAGTGGCGGTCAAAAATGGATGAATGGTGTTTCGTTTTTAATATTTGCAATGATTTTCAAGCTAATTTTTTTTTTAATATTTTTTTATAAAAACCTTGTTCACCTTGAATTTAGAAAAATTCCATAAATCTTTATCTAAATTTCGAGCGTTTTAACCAGAATTTTTATAATTTTTTTGGGTATGCAGTTAACGAGCTTATAAAATTTTAGTAAAATAAATTCAATTCATTGATTTTTAATATTTTGTTTTCGGCGGCTTTTGCGTTTTTTTTTTTATACAAATAGCGAAAAATAGGAAAACTGGCGTTGATTTTTTTTTAATTTTTTCGCAAACGGTCTTGCGCATATTCTTCGACAAGAAATTCATGTTTATATGGAAAAAAGTGCAAAACGACGTCAACAACAAAAAAAATATATCAAAAATCAATGCGGGTTTTTAGCCGCTCAAAACTTGCTTTTATTTCACTAAAATTGTATAAACCTGTTAACTGCATACCCAAAAAAGTTATAAAAATTCCTTTTAAAAAGCTCGAAATTTAGATAAAAATTTGTGGAATTTTTCTAAGTTCAGTATAAAGTTTGAAAGTGTAATAAGCATGAACCATATTTTTATAAAAAAATATCAAAAAAAATTTTAGCTTGAAAAACATTGCAAATATTTAAAACGAAACACCATTCATCCATTTTTGACCGCCACTGTACATAGGTATGCTGATATTTTACTATGTATGCTCACAGGTATACGTATGTAACTTTATATGGCAAATCTCAGCGGTAATTAAATGCGATTTACGTCAAATTATTGTATGTTGGCCTATTTTGGTGTGGCAATGCAGTCGGGCGAAACGTCATTATAAGCGATGCACACAAACAAAACATACATATGTACATAAGCAGTACAAACATACATGTTATCTACAAAAAAAAGCAACATCACAACTGTCGTTCAATGTCCACAACTTCAAAGCGCTAAATGAATGTTGACGATGGCAAGTAAATAAAGGATAACTTTACAAACTTACATATGCATGTATATTTATTTAAGCTATTTACATACAAACATGTGGTGTAAAAAAAAAATGTTGCATGCGACAATTTATGATTGTCAAGTGCATCGTCGTCGACAAAGCACAGGTGTCACATTGAAGGTATTCACTAATCGCAAGTTTACTGATATCTTACTATTTACTATGGGAAAAATATTTGAAGCTTTAAAAGGAATTTCTTGGAGTGCTCGCTTAAGACCGATTGCCCTAATTGGGACTATTGAAATTGATATCATTTTGCGCGATAATGAAATTCCCACATTTAAATATGGCCCCAAAATAACCATTGAAACAAGATTTGGCAGCTTCTCTCAGAAACAGCCTTTGAGTAGAAAGCGGCTCAAAATTTCTGCAGAACAGTTACTCTAGAAGTTAAACAGCGGAAGGTACATTCCATTACAGAGTATATTAGGGTCTACCACAAAATTAGTGGTTAGTTTAAATACATGTAGGAACCGGTCTGGGGCATCAGAATGGGCTTCCGAGGGAACCCTTTAACCAGAGCTGCCCGTCTAACCTAATCTAAGCCTTCAATACATCGAATACGCTCGGAGTATTAAGATACATTTCCGTTCGTTGGATGGGGGAGCACATGTTCTTTTTGCACTGTCTAGGATAACACTATAGTACTATGGCGGCCACCGTAGCCGAGTCGTTAGAGGTACCCCTTGCAGCAGTTGGAACCAGATTCGATTCCTGCTCCGAGAATAGTTTTATTTTCTTATAGTTGAAAAAGCTTCTCATAAATGCCATTTGCAGTTCGGAGTGGGCGTAAGACTTTAGGTTCCTCCATTTTTATAATAACATCAAGACTCACACCAGAAATTGAAGAAGAAGGTCGACCAACCCTTTAGCAAAATGTGAACGTCAAATATATATATATTTTTTGTACTATGACCTAAGGTTAAGCTGGCCACGACAGTTATAAAGACTATGCATGTTCTTGACTGAAAGCTGAGCCGGCTGGTAATAAAATTATATCTTCACTTTCAATATAAACTTCGATAAAGCTATTATTTGTAGTCTATGCGCTATATTGAGAGCTACATACATATGTACATATCCCTGAACCTAAGCAGGCAATTATTTAAATGCAGTTATGATTTTTATACCTGATACCACAGACATACAGCTAAGCTATACCATTAACAATTAATCTTTGACTTGTAACGATTAGTTATAACAACTTGCACGCTATGATGACTAAGGCAATATAGACGCGTATATGTAATATTGTATTGCAAAAGCAAGGAAAATTACATGAAAAGGTTTGTTGTTTCTCAAGTGTTACG